AATTCTGAGATTAAAGTCACAACTCAGGATAAAAAAAGGAATTACCAGACAGATACTGAGTGATTTAGCAACATTCAGTAGAAGAAATGGCAGCAGCTACAGACCTGAAGGGGCAGGCTTGTCCTCGACACAGCTCAGCTAACTGGCTGCTGTTCATCTTTTCAGGACAAGTATGACCAGTGCTGTTACCGTGGACASAGCTTTGTGCTTTATTATCTGAAAACACAAACAACCAAACAGATGTTGAGGTGTTAGATTTAAAAGTGAAACATACTCATGCTGATCATACAGAGAAGATGCTTAATATAACCTTTCGATCTAAAGTCTTTTAATTTATTTCCACTTCAGAGTAATCCAATTTGTTCCAACTTGCTGTGATCATGCTTTTTTGTATTTCTACCTTTGCATTTTCCACAAATATGACAGGAAATTCTAATTGCTGCGACTCCTCTTATAAAACTTTCCATTTATTACTGCAGCTCTCTTCCTCGGCAGCTCACCGACACACCCGTTTCGCCGTCTTTAACTGAAACTGAAATAGGAAAATACAGCCYGGCCACTCTTTATTCTTTCCATTTAGATTAGCAGAAAGGGATATGTCAAGTTGATCTTCTTTGAAACATTGCCTGGAAACTCTAATTGTTGCAACATGGGGAGGAGGAGTGCAGCACCATCAGGAAGTCCGTAGTGGCGGCGYTTTGATGAGGACGCAGCACTTTAGCGACTGGTCTTTGCTTTGAGGAGACAAAAGTGGCTGCGMGGCACAGAGACGACCTGAGCTGGGACGTTCTCTGGACGCTCCCTGTCACTGACTCGGCCAGATGCACCATGARAGGGTAGGAAAAGCCCACTAAAAATGTCTCTGAGTTCTTCAGCTGAAAGAATGTTTTAACAGAACCACCAAAGAACACTTAATCTGGAGTATGTTAGGCCCGATTACGACAAACCTGASTTGACATTAAAACGGTACTGATTTTATTATTTGCATTTTTTTCTTCAAAGACTGTTTTAAGCTTAGTCAGAGGAACGTGTTTGGCATTTGTTTATTTAAAAAACAGATAAATTTTTATTACAAAGATTTTTTTGAAATTTTAAGCAAGCAACATTCCTCTTTAGCCATGATATGCTAACAAACTTCTGAAGCAGGCTACATTACAAGACAGAAAGTAGAATATTTATTTATTAACATGAAATATATCAAAACATTAATCATTTCATTAACATATTTAGCTAAACCTAAAATATTATGCATTTAAATAACAGAGAAAACAAACATTTTACTGTTTACTTAATTAGGGTAAAAAAAAAGCTTTTGACATGCTAAACTATGGTATTCTTTGTATAAAACTACCTCTTTTACTTGCTCTAAAACCAATTAATGGTGGTTTAAATCATAGATTGTAACCTGAACAGCATGTTATTATTGGTGGTGAATATTGTTTCTTTAAATTCAAATAGGTATCCCACAAGGCTCAGTTCTTAGCCCACTTCTTTTTTAGTTTGAATATGATTTGCCTGATTGCTCTGACGCAGATTTTTCAAATGTATGCTGATGATACTTTTATAAACGTATCTGTTACATATCAGTCTATACCCAGCTGAGATTCTATTGAAGAATGATTTGGAGTACGAATGGGTATTTCACACAAAGTAGTCTTCCAGTTTGTTTGTTAGTATTCTAATACTGTTAGAGTAACAATAAATGTGCTAGCTGTATGAACTGTACTTGTAATCTGTAGCCAGGATGAAAGATATGTGCTTCCAAGATGATTTTTGGCTGTACAGGTGTAAAGCCCCTCGTCCCTTTTGCCTGGAGACTGGATCCTCAGTGAGCCAGAAGGTAATAGGGCAACTCTGTCAGCACAAAGATAAAATACCTACAGTCAGCTCCGTCATTTGCTTAAAAGAACAACAAATAATTCAAGTGAGGGTTAGATCTTACCTTCCATCGTAGCGCAACAGGTTTTCATTTTTTGTCCAYGTTAGAGTTGGTCGAGGGTCCCCCAGAGCCTCGCACCTTAGCTCCAAAGAAGCAACTGGTTTCTGCAGCGAAACTGGCACTCCAACRTAAACTACAGTTCCCGATTGAGGCACTGCACCGACCTTCTTAGKTCGCTGAATAATCACCGGTTTTCTAGCCCTGGATGAGTGGGTTTTGAGGTTCGGATTGTAAAAGAGTAATCCTTGTGTAGAAGACTTTGCACCGTCCAGTGAGTCGTGAGTGGCATCACCTTGTGTCCGACTGAGTTCACTGAGCAACTTAATAAGTTGTTCCCCCTGTGGTCCTCTAGATCCTTCAGAAAGGTTGTGCATGAGCTCATCTAGCCTGTGACTATTAACAGCAAGAACAACTGGAATTGAAGATTCTGTWATCTCTTCCTGAAAAGTCGGCCTGTTTTTCTCACTGGAATGAGGTTTGTAAGCGAGGTATTTCTCATTGTATATAGATCCTTTAAGGTCAAGCAAATGCTTTACAAGGTCGTCATATTTGTTGAGGGAGATGGGTAGCTCCATTAATGGTTCGTTGGTAGAGAAGCTATCTGGACGCTTTGCCTTTTGTCGTTCACTTTCAAGCAGCCACGACTCTGGAACACTCAGCTTTTGCTTGTTGTCAACGAGCTGTAGGACAAAATGTTCTCGTGCCTGGCCTACGACACATGTGTAAATCCCAGTATCAGATGTATGAGCCTGCTGAATCTTTAAATATCCTTGTGATTTTATGGAAAAATGTGGGAGGTTCACCAGGGGCTTTCCTTCTTTAAGCCACCGAACATGGCCTTTACGGAAGTGTCGCGTTGGGCAGCGAAGGATGACCGTAGTCCAGGGCAGGAGGTAAGCATAACCACCAACAACCAGCTGCAACTTTTTGACCTTCCTCCACTGGATGTAGACCTTCCTCTGGGCCAGTATGGTAGGATCGTGCTTCAGTGAGTCTGCGGTTAAAAAAGAGAGTGTTTAGGTAGATAAAACTAAGGTGTTGATGCTTCTTATTTGGTATTAAATGTGTCTTTCTTGGCCAGCTGTCATAGGAAGACAAATGACCTAAAGAGTTCCTTACTTTGACAAGGCTTAAGAGAACATTGCCGGATTCTGATGGGACGAGCCATCACAGAACAGTTCCCTGAGTCGATAGTCCAGAATCGTCCGTTCTCTCCTTGCTTCCTACATTCGACTTGAAGAGTCTGAATACCATTTCCACAGGTTACTGAACACTGGACACAGACATGAATACACACATTAGCAAAACCAAAACCTTGAGCACTAAAAGTTTATCAAGGTTGAAAAGACGGACTACCTGAGACCAGTTAGTTGTGACCCACTGAGGTGGGCAGTCCTGCCCACCGCATGAACTTTGGTTCACAGGGCGAGATGATGGACAAAATGAGTCTGGCATCTCAGAGATACTGCCATCTGCCAAACGCTGTTTGCACAACACTCGTCTTCTCTGAACTCCACCCCCACAGGTTTGGGAGCACTGCAGAGATGATAATACTTAAGCGGTAGGGGTAATACATACTACTAAGTTGATTTTTACAACTGGAACTGATGTATAACAACAAACACCCAAATATAGGTCCTTTACCTCCCCCCAGTTATGTGCATCCCAAACGGGAGGACAGTCAAAGCGGTTGCAGGCTTGGAAAGGGCTCGGCTTGGGGTTCAGACACTCGTCACTCTTCATAGTTGTCGTGTAGTTACTGTCTGGAGAAGGCCGATAAGCGCACGCTACAGTGCGTGTCATCAGGCCAACCCCACAGGTCGCAGAGCATGCACTCCACTCCCCGGTTTCCCACCTGTGAAAACAACAGTTATCAAAACAAGTTCCGGTATGAACATAGTACGTAGGTTAAAACGAAGTGCAGCTGAAGGAGCTCTCTGTTTTTTCTTGATCCAATGGGAGGTCTAAACGTGTTATCAGCAAACCAAATTTATGAAAATCAAATTCAAAAAATTAGAGTGAAAAGGCAAAACATAAAACTTCCCACTGAGCTCCGTGGTATTTGAGAAAGCCCTTTGCTATAACTTCATTTGAATTCCCCCAGCGACCCAAGCAGAACAGTTTTATAAAGCTGCCAAGATTTACTACGAAACATCAGCCCGCATCAAAATTAACTTTTAGGTTTACGTTTTCATTCCAACCTGAGGTCAAAGGCCAACTAGTTGCTGCAGCAACTTTACTTTTAGTTTGACAGATCAAGAGATATTTCACAACCATTTGTATTTACTTAAGAATCCTGGGACAGCGGTGGAACCGGGGATTGAAGCTCGTTCATGGGCCGGTACAAGCTAAATCTTTTGGCTGTTTCCCCTCAGAGGGAACAATATCCAGCGAGTGTAGCTTATTATGAGGGGTGATGTGAGGCCTCAGGGAGAGGTTAATGGCCAAAGGAAACAAGTCTAATGCAGCTTTTGTTGTGCGTGAAAACAAGACTAAAGGCCTGGAAAAACAAGCGAGGCCAGGCTGCAGGCCTCCGTGTTTCTGAAAAATAAAGCGCTTTGACAGTTTGCGTGGTGTTAACCTGAAACATGTGGCCTGCCACGGTCCGTTTAGCCACTGTTTATTTATTATCAACAACAGGCTGTTTTACTGTTTAATCTTTAAAGAAATTTATCAGTTTAAATGGAAATGCAAGATGCAGTTACTATTTTTTTTTCATGTGTGTGTAATTCCAACAGTGTTCTGTTTATACAAAAAAAGCTAAACGATCTCTTGAGCTTTTGGTGATAAAAAAGTCAAGAAAAATTTCTCCATGACCAGTGCTTTGGTCCAAAACAAGAAGCCCTGACAGAGATAGTCTTTAAATATATACATATTCTATCTCATTTTTCTGCAGATATACCTAAAAATAACAACCAAGACATAGACTTACTCTAATAAAATCATATTTTCACTTGAGAAAGCTTTATTTTTGGTTCATTCAAAGTTACTTTAGAATGTTAAATCACTAAAATTGACTTGTAGTTGAATAAAACACCACTTAACACATAGTTATTGCAGCTGTTTTACCAAAAAAAGAACATTTAACGTAGCTACAGCCTCTCAAACGTCTGCAACAACAGAACTGACCAAATTCCAGTGAGTCCTTCTGAGGAAGATTTTTACGTCCAAGCTTCGCTAACCGCTGACATCAGATTGTAACCACGTTCCACGGAGCTTCATTTCCTGCTCTCAGTGATAYGACCATCCATCTCTGTCAATCTGCTTTAGGATCATTTGGAACCCTGTTGCTTAATTGTGATTTAAGTGCAGCTCAAGAGGTTTAATTGCGTCTGAAACAATGCAGGCAGAATGAAAGGCTTGAATATCTATTGTATAACAAACTACCGGTGAAAGTTCAGATGATGGAAAGTGACTTTTTTTTTTGCTCATTGGAGATTTAAGTAGTTGCATGTGTACGGGTTGGGGACATAAAAACAAGTGAGGTCCACATATTGTGTATTCTGGAAGGATGTGCTCTTGGCACGCAGCTAAAGAGTAGTTTTAATTAATATTTTCTTCTTAAATGCAGCCAAAATCCACCCCCTCCCATTTTTCACCACATCCATCAAAGTCCATTTTAAACCTTAATAAACAACGTTTAAATGTGATGAGGACATCTGATTTGTGGGTTTCACTGTACCTCGGCGGGCAGGGCTGGGTGTTGCAGTTCTGGAGGAGCTGTGGGGGCGATAGGGAGCTCAYGCACAAGCTCTGGTCTGCTGCCCTCCTGGTTTGCTTGTTCAGGCAAACCACCACGGCTTCCTGCACACCTGAAGTCCACCAACACAGCAGAGACTCAAAAGACGACCAAAGAAATCTGATATTTGTTGGATTTCTCAGGTAAACACGAACATATACCACTTTTCATAAAGTGTCGCTTCATCTACGGAGTCACAATAAAATCATTTAAAGTTGGCTCATATTGCTTTCAATGAACATTTGGGCCAAAATTCTTCCAGAATGAGGCGAGACAGAGAAGCGCATCCAGAAGGCCATTTAAGTTATTGCAGCTAAATGTGATTTTTACAATCTCTTTCAATCACAGGGTGTGCTTGGCCTCTCCAGCGCCGTGCTCCTGCAGCTTAACTTCGTTTCTGTTCAAATAAATAATGACACAATGGGGAAACGCCGTGCGCGCGGCCGTTCATCCGAGGCTGACTTCACTTCGGTTTAAGACCTGCGCTCAAAAAAACAAATTTGCTCAATGAACGTAAAGAAAAATGTGGAAACTAATTTCCGCCCAATTTTAGGGCTTTCTTTCACGATGAGGCAATCATGCGGTTGAAATCTATATATCTGGGTTTGGTCAGCTTAATCTTTTTGGGATGTTTTATTTTATTTTATTTTTTTTTTACTGGGTGGGTCAAACTATATTTCCATGGCAAATTGTTTTTACCTCCACCGCAGCTTCGTGAGCACTCCGTAAACCCCTCGTACTCCCAGTCGTGGAGGTCCCTTCTCTGTGGCGTCGTCTCCTCCTCTTTACCTCCACCTCCGCGGTCCAGTCCTCCCGAGCAGGGCTGATTGTAGCAAGGCTGAACCGAGGCGGGCCTGTCCCCCTCGCATTCGTCATCGGGCAGGTCGGTGACGGCCTGGGAGAAGGACAGCAGCACCTGACATTTGACTGTCCGTCGCTGCGTTCCCACGCCACACGTCCTGCTGCAGAGCTGCCACGGGCCCGGGATGAAGCTGCAGGACGATACGTCACAGAGGAAGACATTCAGATCTGTAAGCAGTAATGAGCCAAATCTACACAAGCAAGCTTGGAACTGTTTGCACGGTACAGATAAACAGCTTTTTTACATTTGCTGCCAAGTTCATAAACTCTAAACCAATAAAATACAATCCTGCTGTGAATAATAAAGCAGCTGCGAAGCAACTATTCCTGAATAAAGGGCTTTCGTGCACACATTCTTACTCAGATGAAGTACTTAAAACCCAATAATGGACCTCCTACTGTTTCAGAACTATTGAAGAAACAATAAAACACAAAAAAATCAGGGCAGAAAAAAGAACTGCCATACAGTAGATGTGGAGCAAAATGTTGGTTTAAATAAAAAATCTGAGTCTGTTGGAGGATGAAAGAGGAAAAATAGGCTCTGAACAAAGCATCTGGCCTAATTTAAACCTGTTTATATCCGGTGATTGGGGAGACGGTAACAGCTGTTTCGTGCCAGTGATGTGTTCAGTTCGTTGTCAGAAGACAAGTCCAAAAATGTTTCAACTCATTTTAAATGGGTCTAACACGACAGAATGACTAGCAAAGATATAAAAGGTAAAAAACTGGCCAAATGGCCCAGGAATTGGGATGATTGGTTTTTGCCAGATTTTAAGTAATCTGTATCGGCCACACCTAAGTGTAACAAACAGATTAACCCTCCTGCTGCCCACGGGTCAAATAATCCAAAAGTCTCCAGTTTTAAAATCTTCATTTAGACCCAGGGGCAACAGATATGTGATGTCAAGTGTAAAATAAAATGTTAAAAAATATCACTAACAC